TTTCCAAAACCTCTACCTATACTTTTCCCATTTTTCAGGAATTTTCTAGAATTTTTCTCAAATTTTCCTGTTTTGTCTTTCCTAGACATAATTACAAAAATGCCATCCCAGACCTTATCTGGGTTTCACATCAAAGTTGTTTCGTCTCTTTATCTAGTTCCTACATTGGCCCTCATTCAAATTTTTAATCCCTTATATCCAAGTGAAAATTTTTCGAGATGTAACACTAGGTCACTTGATTTTGATAAAGGAATAGAGGTAGATAAAGCAAAGATTGAGGTGATTTCTTCGTTGCCCTATCCTACCAACATGAAAGAGTTGAGATCCTTTTTAGGACATGTGGGGTTTTATAGAAGATTTATCAAAGACTTCTGCAAAATTGCTCTACCTCTATCTAAACTATTGCAAAAAGATGTTGAATTTCAATTTGACCAAGAATGTGAGCTAGCTTTTGATGAACTGAGGAGCAGGCTAGTTACTCCTTCTATTTTGACCTCTCCCAATTGGTAATTACCTTTTAAAATTTCATGGGATGCTTCAAGTTTAAGTGTGGGGACAATGTTGAGTTAAAGGGATAGTTCTACTTCTAAAGTAATTGCCCATACTTCTAAAACCCTAGATGCAGCTTAAAGAATTTACACCACTACTAAAAAGAAATTATTTGCTATTGTCTTTGTGTCACATCCTGAAACCTCGATAAGGTTTGGGTTGGCATTTCGTAATTATCAGTCTAGGAAGGGCAAAACGGGAAAATTCGAGAAAAATTCCAGAAAATTCTTGAAAAATGGGAAAAATATAAATTAGAGGTTTTGAAATCTCAACTGAGACCTGAAAGGTGAAATTATTATGAATATAGATTGTTATGGAATTTCCCGTAAATAAAGGTTTTTTGGGAAAATATTGGAAAAATCGAAGGAAAGCAATTATTTTAATTAGTTAGAGACCTCAATAATTCTAGAAAAAAATATGGATAAATTGTCTAAATATTTATTTGAGTTTATAAAATTGGTTTTAGGCCTTGAAAACTCAGGAATTAATTTTAGGAAATTTATTGTTCCAGCAGTTGCTCCCACAGAGGCCCAATCGGAGAAAATTCAAAATAAATAGTTAGAGGTAGAGAAAAATTTTGAAAACTTTCAGATCATATCCTTATATGAAAAAGGGATTTTTCATGGAGTGAAAAGAATTTTTGGAGGCCTGGGAAAATTATGGTATGCTACTAGTGAATAGTAACTGATAAAGTTTCCAAATGGTTTGGGATTGTGATTTGGTTTGTAGGCCATTTTTTTGGACCATCCTAAACCATTTGTGGACTCCATATTGAGCCCAATTGGGGCCCAATTTTGTGTATCTTTTGGATCCTACTATTTAATTAAAATAAAATCCAATTTTCATATGATAATCTAGGAATATTCTAGTGAAAAGCTACTTGGACAAATCTGAATGTGTCTTGCATTGAATGGCAGCCAAGTAACCTCCTTAAGTGGCATTTTGAGTGCCTAAAATTGGGGGAAAATGGTAGGAAATTTTGTCCATAAATACCCCCTAAATACAAGAAAAAGGTGTCAAATTGGAAAACTAAGGGGAGGTTCTACTCAACTATTTTCTAGACCTATTGACCAAATTTCTTGAGCATTTTGGGGGCAAGGAAACAACAAGCTATTGTCAAGGAAGCATCAGGGTATGTCTAATGTAACATACTATTTTAAAAAGAATGTAATTAATATATATAATAATATTTTATTACTTTTTACCGAAAAAAAACAAACAACTTTCCACCGAATTTGATGAAAAGTTGTGGCTTTTGACTTAGGAATAGAATTTAGGGGAGAGGGTAGTAAATGAGGTTGGAAAAAATGGAATGTAGTACATGAAAGAAGAATGTTAGGATGGAGTATTAAATGAAGAGAAGAAAAAGGAAAAGAAGGAACGGATGAAGGAAGAATGTTGAGGAAGAGTAGTAAATGAAGGTGAAAAAATTGGCAATAGTATTAATTGAAGAAGGAAAAAGGGAGGACGCAGGTTGGAAAAAAATTATAGGGGACAATATAGGATGAAGAAAATAGGAAGGGGCGGTGGAAAGAATTGAATATGGGGCTATTAAATACCTTCACCCCAGTTGATTTTCAAGCCAGAGGAAGAGAGACGGAAGAGGAAGAGAGAGCGAGAGAAGAGAAAAGAGAGTGAGAAGCAGAGGAAGAGAGAGAGAGCTGAGTTACAGAGTACGTGACATGTTTTGGGGATCATTTAGGTACACAAAACTACTTCTTTTCATCAAATTTTCTTTATGAATATTTTCTATACATTTACAGCTTCATATTATTAGTATCATTATAATGTTTAGAGAAAAATTTACCGTTTGAATATGGAGTATATGTAGAGTTTTGAAAATATATGACCATAGAGATTTAAACATATATTATTAAGGAATTTTAATCGATTTACATTTGTTCAATGACTTTTAGGAACTTTAAATTAAGATTTTAGTTGAAAAATTTGTTACCCAGAGATATAGAATATTTTTACCAATTAAATTTAAGTTAAATAATTTATTTGATTTATTTAACATACTATTAAGATTTTAATTGGTTTGAATATTAAATATGTGAAAGATATATTGTTAAAATAATTTTTGAAGTCTTGAAAAATTGTAAATTGAGAATTTTGTGAAATTAGATAAAATCACAGTTTGTTTATAATTCAAAGAAGTTGTTTGGTTTGAGAAAAATTTTTAAAGGAGACTATAATAAATAATTCAGAATTTTAATATAAAATATTTAGATTTTGGGTAATAAAAATATATTTACTTAAGTTGTTAAATTTAAATAGCCTTATATGTAAATTATATTTTTCAAAATAATATTATATCTATTATAAATGGATAGATTTGGGAGAGTTAATATATTTATGTTATTTTGGTTTAGAGGGTAGTTTTAGAATTTTAGAGTAGTTTTAGAGTAGTTTTGAGTTTTACATTAATAAATATTTATATGCAATTTTGTAGACTCTTGAGAATTTTAGAGTAATCTTTGTGTGGTTATTTGTAAGCTAAAGAGTACTAGGTAACTCTGAAAATTCTTTCTTGTACATGTGAATTGTGTATGATTATATTGTGGATTTATTAATTTTTATATCATATTGAAATATAATGTAATGTTATGATTTTTTTAATAAATGTTTTGGTATGTTACTTGATTTTATTAAGATTTATTGCTAGTAATTATGATCAATATTTAAATATTTTAATAGCTATGAAATTATCATGAGTTGCTGTTAAATGGTACATGAATTTTATTTCTCTCTTATTTTTAATAATATATTTGAGAACATATTTATGATGTACCATTATTTGCATATGACATGCATTGTTGGGCTAAGGATAGAAGGAGATTTGTATGGATATAAATTACCACGTGGTATGCCATCACTCGGTGCACAGTGGATAGCACTTGTCAAGGCCCCTTCTTCCATATTTTCCTTTAGCTGGGAACTCGTTGGAGCTGTGCGACATGTGACACCTCCCTATTCGTAAAGGAGGGGAGTTATAGTCTAAGCTTGAGCTCTATATCTTTGGCCGGATATATCTCTAGATCAATAAGCTTGGAATAATTCGGTAAAATGGATTAATTCCTATCGAACTATATGTTAGCCTATGGCTCTAGCTAGCAGTATGAGAGTAGACGGTGATATAAGGGAGGCAGCATATTGCATTATTTTTTAGATATATTGGAAATATGATATTAGTATATTGTTGAATCAAAAATGAAATTGAGTTGAATGTATCAAATCCGTGATTTTCATATATATATATATACACACATAAATAGATTTTTGTTTATCATATATGGTTTGCCTGTATAGGTTAGAATTTCAGTAGTTACTGAGACGTTTGATCTCACTCTTTATATTAACAATTTTCAGGCGAGGGATCTAGTAGGAATCAAGGGAAGGCACCAATAGAGTGAGCCGTGAAGGCTTCTATACTCCTCGGACACATGCTATGTTATATTTTTAATTTCCATAACTAGAAGACTTTAATAGTTTATTTTGTTGTTATGTTAGAAACATTTTGAAATTATGACTTGTTTGAAGTGTCAGTAACGTATGGATTTTTATATGAAATATTTTATTGGGTATATGGATATAATTATATGAGGTGTTACATTTTTTGTATCAGAGCTACAACGTTCCATGGCTTTTTATTTGAGTATAGTGAAATAATTTTTTAAAAAAGGTTTTGGGAAAAAAATTGGCTACAAGTCATGGCAATTTAAATATAATAACATGTGCACTTCCTTTTAGTTTTTAGATTAAAAGTTTATTTTAATAACTCTGTTTAGTTTACCTAGTGTCCATCTGCTACTCTTCATAGGAGGGAAGAATGGTGAACATTAACCTATGTCGTGAGTATTGATCGGAGAGTGAGGAGACATGAGGACGAGCTAGTGGCAATCAAAGGTCAGTGTGATAGCCATCAAGAAGAAAATGGCCCAGTTAATGATGAAGCTCCCAGTGACCACCAGTCCATAGGTGATACTCTTAGAGGCACTGAATCAAAAGTTGATAGCAGGGCACATTCTCAACACGACCTTGCATGTATCACACTGCTCTGGGAAAGTTTTAGGAAGTTTGATCCTCCTAAGTTTGAGGACAGGTTGAATCCATCTAAAGCTAAAGAATGGATCGAAAGGGTGGAGACTATATTCAGAATAGTAATCTGCACCTCGTAGGAAAAAGTGCAAGTTGCTGAGTAGCTGTTACAAAAGGCAGTAAGGAAGTGGTGGGACAGCATTAAACCTTTTGAGAGTGCAGAAATGACTTCGGAAAGGTTCAAGGAGAAATTCTTCCAACATTATTATCCTAATGCCCTTAGAGCTGATCAAGAAGCAGAATTCTATGCTTTCAACCAAGGGAACTTAAATGAGGAAGACTTCATCGCTCGATTCCTTGAGTTAGTCAAATATACTACTTATCCATAGATGTAACATAACTTGAAGTGGATGGCTGATAGGCTACTGGAAAAGGCCAAACCAGAATTAAGAACAACTCTAGCACTCTTGGAGATTAATGATTTTGAAAATACGTGCACCAAATTACGTATCATTGCTAGAAGAACGAGAGAAGAAGAAGCTGAGAAGAGGAAGGACTCTTATATAAGGTCCATTCCATGCATGAAACCTACGAGAGGAATCGGTAAGAAGAATACTTACAGCTTCAACAACTCCAAGAAGCAATTTAATCAGCCCTCAAGGAATCAATTTGGTGGACCTTCGAGGAGTCAATTCAGTAGACCCTTGAGGAATCAATTTAATGGACCTTTGAGAAGTCAGGTTAGTGGGGGACAGAGCTCTTACAGGAGTTATACAGCTCCTATCACTAGCACTGCCAATAGTCAAAAGTGTGCCAAGTATGGGAAGATGCATCAAGAAAATTGTATAATCTGCTTCAAGTGCAAGAAACTGGGCCACATTTTCAAATTCTGTAAGGAAGGCTCACGAGGGGTCAATAATACTAGAGCTGCAGTCCCAGGAAGAGTGTTCGCACTATCTCAACAAGAAGCTGACACTTCCCCCAATTTGATCAAAGGTATTCTTAAACTCGAAGGCTTTAAAACTCAAGCTTTATTTGATTCTGGTGCAACACACTCATTTATATCTGATGATTATGTGTCTCGTTTAAGTATTCATATGTATGAATTGCCTTGTGATGTGATTGTCTCTACACCAGCAGGAGTCTCAGTGAAAACTTCTAAAGCATGCTTGAATTGTATGATTGAATTTGAGGGTAGGACTTCTACTATAGACCTTGTTTGTCTACCCTTAAAGGGTATTGATCTGATTGTAGGAATGGATTGGTTATCAACAAATGGCACCACCCTAGATTGTAGAAGGAAGACCATTTCTTTGCCGGTCTCCTTTGCAAGTTCTAGTGGGCAACAACTGTTGTCTTTTATGCAAGTTGAAAAGTGTATTTGAAAGGGTTGTCAAGCCTATATAGTGTTCTTCTTTGTTTAGACAGAAGCTGAAAAGGCGTAGATGAGATTGCAGTGGTGAGTGAATTCCTGGATGTGTTTCTGATTTAGCCTAATTATTCTATGTTATTTCATATCATTTTAAGGGTATTTATCATAGATTTTGGCTCCTTTTGATGATAATTGTGCTTAATTTAGATTAAGAGTCCTTGCTTTGAGTTAGTGTCTTTTTGAGGTTAAGATTGTCATAATTGGTTATTAATTGTATTCAGTTGATTTCTAGGACAATTGATGCTTCAAATTGTTGCTTTTTATTGTAGGACAATTGAGAATTGGAGCCAAGACCAAAGACCAAAGGATGACACAACACAAGATCAGAGTATCAGCACTAATAGAGTTCGCCGCGGCGAAGATTCTCTTCGCCGCGGCGCCAAATTGAAATCTCACCAGTAATCTCTCGGGCAGAGTTCACCGCGGCCAACTTACAGCTTCGCCGCGGCGAAATCACAAGATTAGGCGGAGCTCCTCTCGGGCATGCTTCGCCGCGGCGAACTCTTCGTATCAGCAACGCCAGATCCGGATCAGAACGCGAAAATGGAGCTTCTAATCATATGATCCGACCCAGATGGACCCCTAAAACCCTTAGAAACCCTATTTTCGACAAAAAAACACTCCATTCCATCTCCTACAACACCTCTATTCTCCCATCCTCTTGCCTCTCCATCTCCATCTTCTTCCCCATCCATTTCCTTCATCTTTCCTTCACTCCATCTCATTTCCTTCCACTCCCAGCTACCATGACCGATGGATTCACTTCAGTTGGAGCTTTTCTTGAAGTTATGGAGGGCTAGGGTTTATCAACTCTTGAAGATGGTGGAGTAGCATGAGTTCCTAAGCTTCAAAGGGGAGTTTTAGTTTTAATCTTCAGTTTTTAGCTAGGCATTTATGATTTCCTAGGTCTAGGAATTGTAAACTCTTAGTTAGATACTTTGATTAATTCTGTAATCAGTGGTTATTGATTATCTTTTGTATATTGGATTGATTGATGTTGAACTTTGAGCTTAAATATATGTAGTTGCATGTATGCTTAATGTCTCTCTCATGATTCTCTCTTATCTTGCCTAGTTGTGTTTGGGTATTGAGTTGATTGTGTGTTTCATTAAGCCATTTGCATGATCATTCCAATTTACACATTAGGGAAGCTAAACAAAGCTTACATTAATGAGTTCATTAATGTAAGCTTTGGACTCATTGAGTTAATGAGGTTCTTATTAAGAAAACCTAATGGATTTGTGAAACTCCCAATATTTAAGTGAACTATGATTGCCATCAAAACCATTTTCAAGAGATTTCCTATCAATCATTTCCATTCCATCATTATCATCTTAAAACACCAAAAATATAGTATCTTAGGTTTGTTTTCATTGCATTCAGTTTTGGATCAATTCATTTAAATCTTAAAAACCCAAAACCCCATTTCATTGCATTGCATGGCATTTAGTCTAGCTTAGGTAATTAATAAAGGCTCCCAAAAGTGAAACGACCTGAGTTTGCACTATACTGCATAGCTTGGATTTATTTTTGATTGAGAACCCCAAGGCGAATGACAAGAAAGGCTCTCTTTCAGTTTCCAAAGGAGGTAACAAGTTTGCCTCCAGAAAGAGAAGTAAAGTTCTCCATTGATCTTGTACCAGGAACCGAGCCTATCTCTAAAGCTCCTTATCGGATGTCTCCATCAGAATTAGCAGAGTTAAAGAAACAGATCGAGGAGTTGCTAGAAAAGGGCTTCATTAGGCTGAGTGTATCCCTTAGGGGCTCGCCTATGATCTTTGTGAAGAACAAGGATAGGAGCATGAGACTGTGCTTGATTACCGCCAATTGAATAAGGTAACCATAAAGAACAAGTACCCTTTGCCTAGGATCCATTATTTACTTGACTAGCTATCTGGAACATCAATATTCTCTAAGATTGACTTAAGGTCAGGTTATCACCAATTAAGGCTTCGATCTGAGGATATCCCAAAAACTGCATTTCGAACCAGATATGGTCACTATGAATTCCTTGTTATGCTGTTTGGGCTAACTAATGCTTTGGCCATCTTTATGGACTACATGAATAGAATCTTCTAACCTTATTGGATAAATTTGTAGTGATCTTTATTAATGACATCCTTATTTACTCCAAGAATAAGGAAGAGCATAAACGGCATCTTAGAATTGTGCTACAAGTGTTAAGGGAACACAAACTCTATGCAAAGTTGTCAAAGTGTGAGTTTTAGCTTAAAGAAGTAAAATTCTTAGATCATGTCGTATTAGCTGAAGGCATGTCAGTAGACCCTAGTAAGATTGATGCAATGTTGAAATAGGACAAGCCACATAGTGTCACAGAAATCAGAAGCCTTTTAGGATTGGCAGGCTACTACAGGAGATTCATTAAAGGCTTTTCACAAATAGCAATGCCATTAACCATACTAACTAAAAAGGACCAACTATTTGTTTGGACTGAGAAATGTGAAGCAGCCTTTTAGACTTTGAAGACCAAGTTGACCACTACATCGGTACTTGTGATTCCAGACCCTACACAGTCTTTCACTTTGTATATTGATGCTTCTAAGAAGGGTCTTGGGGCTGTATTAATGCAAAATGGTAAGGTAGTTGCTTATGCTTCTCGACAATTGAGGCCGTATGAGGAAAACTACCCTACTCACGACTTGGAATTGGCAGCAATCGTGTTTACGTTAAACATTTGGAGGCACTATCTCTACGGTTCGCAGTTTGAGATTTTCAGCGACCACAAGAGTTTGAAGTATTTGTTTGGTCAAAAAGAACTTAATATGAGACAAAGAAGGTGGATAGAGTTCCTTAAGGATTATGATTATGAGTTAAAGTATCACCCAGGGAAGGCAAACATTGTAGCAGATGCCTTAAGTAGAAAATCTATCCATGCAGTCCAGTTGATGGTCAAGGATGTAAGAATGGCTGATCACCCAAGAGGGGGGTGAATAGGGTGTTAATTAAAATTAAAAACCTTTTCACAATTTAATAAAATTCATAAGAAATTCTGGGTATAAAAATAATGAATTGACATAAGCATAATCACAATAGTAAAATAGTTTAGCTAGAAATATAAAGAGGTAAGGGAAGAGAAGATGCAAACTATGATTTATCCTGACTCGGTCCTCATTGACTATGTCCAGTCCCCAGGCTCCCCCTGCGATTTTCAATCTACTATCTCCCTCAAGTTTAACATGGGTACTTGAGAACCACTACAACTACAAGTTTGATCCAGCCACTTATGTCGCCACTTACAATCCTTAGACTAACCAGTTTATTCAACAACAACCTCTCACTGAGATAAGTACTCCCCCTTACACACCATAAGGATACAATCTGATAATGATAAAGAAGATTGAACATTTCTTCTCTCAAAGAAGTGATAAATGAATCTTAAGCATGCCTGGGAAACTCTCCTCTCTATCTTACGAATACATAAGTTTTAGTCTATGAAGTACAGAGACAGGGAGTTTTCTCTCGGAGCTCTAAATGATAATATATTGATTCGACATTTTAGCATTTGATGTTGTAAGCTCAGACTCTTCTTTTTTCTTGTTTTGAATGCTCTTCTATTTATAGATGATGTTGGGCATTTGACCGTTGAGCATCTTCTTCCCTTTTGGCTCGAAGAATATGATCGTTGAAACTAGCCGTTGGAAGCTTCTGACAAAAGTTGATTCTTCACATCATAAATTTATTGCGGCTCTTTACCTGAAATAATCTTCCTCAAATCAAGTGATAAGTATATGATAATCTTAGAAACAATAAGTTGGAAAACATGGAATCAATCATCAAATATTCAGAAAGTAAGATGAACTTACTTAATCGATGCCTTGATTGATAATCCTTTGATCGATCATATTATCGATTAATTATATGACGAAAAGATATAGCAGATATATGCAATTATCGAATAGATTATGGATCATATGATGATCGAACAAGTGATCGATAAATGATGAAGCATGTATGCAGCGAGCTTTAAATGGATTATGCAAGGATAATCTTTTTCAAGTTATGTTTGCTATCGTATCCTTTTAATAGAGAGTTATGTGTAAAAAGAATGCTGAGAAAAGCTTAAAGATAAAAAGATAAAATATTTCAAAATCATCGTGAAATGCTGTTATGAAATGAACTGGTACAATGATCGAACATGTGATCAAAAACTGTTTGATCGATCAGGTTATCGATAAAGCTAAGTATGAGAGAAATAGATTTTCAAAGAGCGTTGATCAAATATTTTATCGATAAATGGTTGATAGGAGAAATGATCGATAAAAAGTTTCAAAGAGATTTTCATAGTGAAGTTACCGAATATAAGATGATCGAGTAAATGATCGATTAATGATTAATCGATTAAGTGATCGATAAAATATCATCACAAACTTATTTCAAAAATACTAGGAAAAACCTTGATCGATCATATTATGTGAAAACAGATGTTTCAGAAGATTGGATGATCGATCAATTTATCGATAATTAGATTATTGATCAGGTGATCGAAAAATACAACTTAAAAAGTAACTCAGTGAAATAGTGATGATCGATCATTTGATCGATAAATCACGGATCGATTAAGTGATCGATAAAACAACCAAATAACAACCTTGAATAGAAACAAATTGAGTGGGTTATTAAACAATGTTCGATCAGGTTATCGATAAATATCTTATCAATAAAGTGATTGATAAATGATGAAAGAAACAGAATATAACTTAAGTGGAAGAGTTTTACCATTTATCTGTCTTCTTATCGATGACCTATTTATCGATCAGGTGATTGATAAATCTTATGTTATGAGGGAGGAAGTTCAACCTTTTTGCTGATAGCTTATCGAACAACCAATAATCGATTAAGTGATCAATTATTTCCTGCATCATCATTTATCTGATGGCTTATCGAAAACCTCATTTATCAATCAAGTGATCGATAAATACATTTATCCATAAC